TATAAGAAACTGCTTCAGACTTGCCTGGGCATTCTATTCTTGGGTTGAAAAATGACTCTACAAGGATCGTGAGAATATTAATAATGACAGCTCTCACCATACTTGTCTCTTGAGTCACAGGCCTCCAGTAGGTATTGTTTGGTAGCCCAATACAGCTGACATCTTGGAATCTTCTAGCCCCATCCCCTTGGAGGTTTCCTTTGCTTCTCTTCTTTGTTGGATTTCCCATTTGTTGTATTCCATGCATTCCTCATTCTTGTTGCAAACTCAACTTTTGTTGGGGCAAATACTGCAGTAGCTTGATAGAGAATGTGTCCTTTATTCAATCCTTGGACTTGTTTAACAGTTTGGATTATGTAGAAAAGTCTTAGAATTCTGAAGGCATTGTTTCATTGCCTCCTGGACTGTACAGTCCCCTTGGAGAAGTTTAGAACCGTTTGAATCCCTGATCCTTTGTATGTGATTTAGTTTTTCTTATCTGGAAACTTGTAGACTCCTCTTTTTGCACTCAATATTCTTAAATTTCAAAATAAAATGTCGTTTTATTGTTCTGTTGTTATTGTTATTGCTAGGCACTTGTTGGGCCATTTCAGTTTGGAAACTAATGTTCCTCAGTTTTAGGAAATAGTTTTGATTTTTTTGTTTGTTTCCGGTAATTACTCCCTTCTATGTTCTCCGGTTTTTAGAATTCCTATTATTTGGAAGTTGAACCACCTGGACCAGTCTTCTATTTTTCTCAGCTTTTATCTCCTATTTTATGCCTCTTTTTATTTTTTTTCTCTACTTTTGTGGAGCTTTCCTCAACTTCATCTTCTAACCTTTCTAATGAGCTCTCAATTTCTTTTATCAAATTTTTATTTTCAAAGATTTCGTATTTTTTTCCTCTGAAAGATGCTCCTTCTCATTTTTCTTCTTTATATTCTTCATCTTGTAATATAATCATATATATGTTTTATGGATGGAATATTTTTCTTAATTCTGAGGATTCTCCAGAGAAGAGTCTTCTAATCTCTTTCCAAGAAGCTAAGGTTCTGGCTGCCAACTTTGGGGAGCCTAGTGAGAGAAGAAAGCTGGAGATCTCGGCATTCTGCAGATGGTCAGTCCCCATTTTCTGTTAGGTAACTGCCCCTGTTGAGAGTGAGTGGTGGAATCTAGTGATCTAGCATCCAGTGCTCCTATTTTAGCTGCTCCTGATGCTGCCAGTTTTCGTCTTCTGAGGATTTTGCTGTGTAGATTGTACTGGTTCTCATCCATTCCCATGTATCGTTTAGGGTTGGACTCCTACAGGGGCTCCTGATCAGTTACCAATTTTCCATCTGCTTCATCTGTTACTATTTTCTCCTTACCATTTCTCCTTTTTATTTTTTTTCTCATTTTATGTCTTTTAAAAATATATTTTCTGTAATTTAGTAGCATTTCTGGTGAGAGAGAAGTATGTGTGTTAAGTCTGCCATCTTAATCTAGAAACCAGCTTGTTCTTTATTGCTTAGTTAGAACTTGTAAATTCCATTTGATCCCTGCAATAAAAGTTCCATTATGTGGATTAAGTATTGGCTGACACTTATTGGAATCAAAGGCTCTAAGAAGAATCGTCAAGATCAGGGATAGTGATGCTAATGCTCAGGTGATGAGCACTTGCACTGCTCCCAGTTAAGATGAAGGGAACTTCAGTGAAGTTTGGCAGTTGGTTGTCAGTAGTGTGAAATTAAGGTGGTAATTTTCGACAAGTTTCTGCTTTGTCTTCACCATGGGAAGCCCCAAATGGAAGTGTCAAATTACAATATTTTTGTACTATAGTTATTTTTCCCATCACAGGAAGAAAAGAAGTTAGTTTTAAGTAAACAGGAATATAATTTATGGAACTACTACCAGCTAATCCTTATAGTATTATGATAAATTAAAAGATAGATGATTAGGGTCTGGCCTGGTGGCATAGTTGTTGAGTTTGCGTGCTCCACTTCTGCGGCCCCTGGTTTGCAGGTTCAGATCCTGGGCACGGACTTATGCACCACTTATCAAGCCATGCCGTGGCAGGCGTCACATATATAAAGTAGAGGAAGATGGGCACCAATGTTAGCCCATGGCCAATCTTCCTCAGCAAAAAGAGGAGAATTGGTGACAGACGTTAGCTCAGGGCTAATCTTCCTCACCAAAAAAAAAAAAAAAAAGATGATTAGATGTATGAATTATCTGGCTAAAGATGCTCAAAAGATAGTAAAGGGAGTGAGGGAGAACTATCATGATGTTTCGATAATTCATTTTTAAATATAGTGTTGCATTTCATCTTTACAAAATCCTAGAAGATGCCTATGCTAAAGACCGTAGTCTTCAATCCAAGGGTCAGAGGAATTAAGTATCTTGCAAGATTAAACAGTTAACTTGAATAATTCGTAAGACCAAAGTAGAGCTGGGATTTGAATCCAAGAGTGAATGACTGAATCCTTTCCACTGCACACTACTACCTTCATAGGATAAATTTGACCACTATTGTCAGTAATCATACTGTTAAATTGTGGTAGAGGATGCTTTTTATTCTTTTCTTTTTAGCCCAGTAAATGGCTACTATCAATCAAAAGCACTATTTTGCTTACTCAGCTTCTTGAGGAATATGCAAAGTTGCTGATTTTATACCCATAGTAGAAATGAATGACATATCTTTGAAAACTTTTTCCTAGCTATTCCTTCTTGATTCTAGGTCTGGAATATCCAGTCTCTAATTATAGTTTAAAATATCTACTACCAAGTACATTCCGTTTACTACCAGACTAACTCCAAGCATTGATAATAGAAGGATATCACAAGTGTTGACGGATTCCTGCATTTCTATAACATATATCTTCTAATTTAAATAACTAGATAAATATTGATTAAATTTCATTTCTCTTCATTTGCACATTTGAAACTAAGAGAAAATACTATTAAGCAAGATTCTAACATGGGCCCTCATCTTGATTATAGCTATATGCCATTTCTACAACCTTTGACTTACTTTCTAGGCCAAAATTCCAACTTTCTCTTATCATTCCTCAAGTATTAGAGATTCTTATTTTTCTCTTACCTCATTACCTTATTTGGACCATCTATTTAGTAGTCTATCTGAGGATAATTACTTTAATCAGTGCTTTTAAGGGTCTCCTTGTTGAATTTACCTTCCATTCTTTCAAAGATGCATGATCACCATACTGATTACTTTTTTGATTTTTCTGTTTATATTAAAAAAGAAGAGAAAAAGTATTTTTCCAGATTATACTCCCCCCATACATGTGACTCTTACAGGGTTCCTCACCCCTTTGCTTACTGGTTCTCTAGCTTAGCTTCTGGAAGAACTGGCCAAGGCAAGCTCCAACCCGGTGCACGCTCTCTACTTCTCCGAACCCTTGCTGCTTTGCCTACCCTGGAAAGTTGACCTGGCCCTTAAAGACACACTTTCTTTTTCACACTTGAACAGATCCTAAGCCTGTCCTCCTTCCTCTTCTTACAAACTTTTATTGAATATCTACCATTTCTCTACCAGACATTGGAGGTGTGAAGGTAAACACGTCTTATTTCTTATGTGAGAGAGTCCATACTCACTCACAGGCTTACATAGTTCCACCAAATGATGGATGCTTTCAAACTTTATGTGTGCAGGACTTTGGGAACCTAAAGGATCGAGGAGGTGGTACTGATTTCCCTAGGGGAAACCAATGTAGGATATTGAGAAATATCCTAGATATTTGAGAAACAAGCTCGATTTCTTTTTCTCTAGATCACCCTTGCTTCTCTAACTAAAAGAGCTAACGGGGCTCCATATCCTTCAAAGAGCCTAAAATCTACCCTCTGGGCAAGAATTAGTCACTCTCTCCTATAGTTTTCAAATGACTTACGTTTAGTATAGCCTATGTTACAGTTATTATTATTTTTTGTTTATATATATGCCTTCTCTACTACTTTGTGAGTTCTTCAAGATTTTTCCGTGCATTTGAAATGGATTTCATTTGCTGTATTATTAATTTTTAAGGCCTTAGCACTCTGCATTTATTGATGATTAGGCTTTAAAAATCAATTACATAAACGAAAGATTTTCTTAAGTCTTTTATGAACACCACTGACAGATCATCTTCTTGCTGGTCTCTAGTTGGTTAATTCAAGGTTTTGAAATTTTTTTGTTAAATTATGGATTTAATAGTTTAACTGTACTTTTAAAATCAGAAATATGCCCATATATTTTTTGAATTTGGGGAAGGAGACTATTTTTCAGTATTTCAGGAATCTTATGGTTATATCTAAAGTAGGAGGTTCTATCCACTGAAGCCATTATGTGACGTTTGCCACCACCTAAATAGGATATTTAAGGCACATAACAGCTTCTCCTTATTATTTCCTGAAGCCCCGCTGCTACCACATTTGCACTGACCATCTTTAAAATCAGTTGGGTTTTTAAGCTATGAACCTTCTGGAAGCCTTTTTTTTTTTTTTTTTTTTTTAATATTTCATGCGTATTTAGTTCTGGTATTGACCACCAGGTAGCAACAGTCCCTTGAGTAGTTGAGTCTCTTAAATAGGGAACTGTTGCAAACTGATGGATTAAGCCCTTTGCATTCAGGAGAGAGAGGGGTAAGTGTCCAGAATCATGATTTTTTTTCTTTTTAATTCCTCTCTGGTACGTTGGCTCTTGCAAATCCAGGTGTAAATTATCTGCTGTCTATGAGCGGCTTCCTGGTCCTGCCAATCTACTGTTTCCATGACAGTGTACTTCATATCGGGGCCACTGAGACAAAATGAAATGAAGGCCAGGTGGCAAGGGGCAACATGGATGGTGCAAGAAAAGAGTATGACAACTGCAGAAATAAGGAGATTGAGATCATAAGTGAGGTGTAGGGAGAATTTTGGATATTGAAATATCCAAAAAAAACCCGAATAATATTTATGAGATTTTTTTAACTGTCAGAAACACATTTATGCCAGTCTAGAAAAATCAAATATGTTATTTTAGACTTTTCTTTTTCCTTCACCCTTAGCCATCCCTCTGGGTATTCTAGTTGTGCGTGGAGACTGTGATTTGGAGACTTGCCGTATGTACATAGATCGCCTACAGGAGGTGAGTTTCTTTAGCCAATTATTTATTCTTCTCAGTTTTCCATGTTTGTAAACAATTACCAGATATATATTTGCTTCTGAAATGATGCGTTTGGGGAGGAAATGGAAATGTGGCTGCCTTATCTTTTCCGAATACGCCATATCTTCTCCCCACCCCCACCACTCCTATTCTCCCTCCTCAGGTGGTTGAAACGGGAAAGGATTGAGTGGGTTGACTACAGCCTGTAGTGTGATCCATCACTGTAGCTTGGAACTTTCCCTCTTCTTGCCAGACTACATACCTGCACTTTTTGAGCTGTGCAGAATTTCAAAGGGCACTGATAAATAATGAAGGAAAACAGAGAGTTGGACTTATTTAATGTTTTGTATCTGGCACAGACTTCTGTCAGAGATGGCTAGATTTTTTTAAAAATGTAACTCTACAGGAAAGAGGAATCTTCTATATTTCATAGGAATTTGTGTCAGAACACAAGGAATAATCTATTATTTTTTTTTTCTGAATATGGTCTTACCATAGAGAAAGAGAAAGAAGGGGTCTCATATATGACATTCTCATGAATTTGAACTGTGCCAGCAAAGCTAGAAGGCCCAAGCCCATCATCATGGTGATCATTGGTTGTTTTTGCAAAACTTTGAGGAGGATGTTCACTGTCTTCATTCTACAAATGGCAAAAAAGCATAAATAGCCGCTTCTTTATCATTGTTTCTTGATGAAAGATGCACATTAGAATCACTTTTTTTGGATGTGGTTTAGACATTTGTATTTTTAAAGCTGTTGGGTAATTTTTGATAGATACCCCAAGATGAGCAACTCTCTTCCAGACAATACGTTATACATAAGTCAGTATCACAAATGAAGAAGAAAAATAGTGTTTAAAATCCCTTCGAGTTGTAGCCACTTAGCTTTGAACATTAGCTTCGACTTATCTTGGTGGAAATAAATTCAGGTAGGAGGCATAAAGCAATGTGAAAAATTAGTAATTTTTCTCTTCAGCATTGTTGAGGATAGAGATGGGATCGTGAATGCAAAAAATATTTTGAGATAGTTGCCAAATTTTGAATACTGATGTGGATGAGAGAAGAAAAGTCAACAAATTTTATGCTTGTAGCTTCATTTGCCTGTGTTTACCAAGGATAACTTGAACAGGTTAAGATTTGTGAACTTTTTAGCATGTGACTCAAGTCCAAATAAATATTCCTAGAACATATAGTATCTCATTTTTCAAAATAATGTTTGTATTTTATTGTGGAACCTTACTCAAAAAACCTGCAATAAAAAAGCGAATCATAATTGGTACCAAACCTTTATTTTTTAAAAACACTTGGGTGACTTAAGATTTTGCAGTAGCAAAATACATAACTGATGAACTGACTTTGTTGAGAACCAATCTATTGGCATGCTTGTCACACCAATATTCAACTAAAAGTAGGATTCTTAAAAACAAAATGAGGACAGAGTGAACTCAGGAGAAGTTTTAAAACTAACTTGGGCACAAAGAGTAAGTTGATAAAGCCCTGTGGGAAGCAGATATAAGGACAACAGTACCCAGGATTGCTGACATCTGTAAATTGAATCACTACACTCATTAACAAGGAAGCCTGCGGGACATGACAATGGTGACAAGTTAGTTATAAAACTTTATAAAGTGAGCCAGGCTCTCAGAATCTGCCAGTAAAACCTCATTAATTTGAAATCTGTTAATTTACACTTCGTGATAATGCAGAGGTGGCCAGTGATTTTCTCTTTACAGTTTATGAAAACCTGTGTTGCCAAGTAATTTATTGGTATAAACACATTTATCATGACAGTATGTATTTGCTCTAAGATAAATTCTTTCTAGGTGCTTCAAGGGACTTGAGAAGCTTTTTTTACAAGCCAAAAGTTCAGGTGCAAATTAGATATGACCTGCCTCACTTCTTATAACACAATTGTCTGTCTTTTACTTTTAGTCTTCTCTATCCTTGAAATTATATCATTCACTTCTAAACTCTATTTAGGATTTGTAAGTTTCAATTGCTAAATGGCCTTTCTTCTCTCAGTCCAACTTGGTATGTTTTTATTATTTTTGGCATTATCTTCTTTATTTAACCTTGATGAATTTGGGTGAGTTAGATACTTTCCAGATGAGTTTAATAATATTCAATTGGGAGTTCAGTTGACAGAGTTATGGAGGCAGCTTGTTTAAACTAATCCTAAGGTATGGATATATATTTTTTTATTTTTTTCCATTTTCTCATTAGGACCTGCAGTCAGTTTCTTCTGGCTCCCAGAGAGTTCATTACCAGGTAACACCTTGACTCTCCTTGTTTCTTACCTTCCTGCCAAAAGAAGTCTATCTTTCAATTAATGTCTCATTTGGATTAGAATCCACATCTTTCCTAGGGATAGAGTTCACTCTAAGAACGAAGTGTTGGCATTCTGATTCTTCTGCCTTTTACTGGTTTTGGACAATCCTAGTCTAACACAAATTTGGACTATGGATTTTGTTTTAGATCATTTAGAAAAAATTATAAAATGAAGTGCTTTCAGTGACAAATACTGAAAAACTCAATTCAAACGTGCTTAACAGGGAAAGAATCTATTGGTTCACATCAGCAAAAAGTTCAGATCAAGGGGGGATTTTTATGTACCATTTGGCCATGGCTCATGTTTCATTTTTCTGCCAGTCTTTCTGCTCTGTTCTTCTCTTTCTGTCAATTTCACTTCTGGACTAGATGTTTTCCTGGCCCAAGAAGGCACCATTAGTAATCAGGGCTGTATGTTTCTCCTTCAGGTCCAGGAAAGGGAATCCCCTGCTCCCCACACCCATCAAGCAAACTTTCTAAAATGCAATCTGATTGGTCCCTCCTTTTGGACAGGATAGAATAAATTCAACCCCTCTCTCTTGTGACCCACATCAAGTCCACAGGAGAACACTCAGATATCCTTTGCTATAGCAGTCTTTGGGAGTGCAGTTTCTTCCCCACTTCCTCACCCTACTGTGCTGCACAGGCCTCTCCAGCCATTCTTTTATGAATTAGATTTCTCAGTGATTTGGGTACCAGTGCACAGTATCAGCCCAAACTATAAGGGGTACGTGCAAAGCTCTGAGTGCTTCCATTAAAGCCCTTTTCTCTGAGAGGCCCAGAGAAGTACCCTTCCCCACTGGGAGGATTGTGTAGGAGTCACAGCAAACAAAGACTCCCTCCAAATAAATCCTCCCCTAGACCTTTTTATACCTCCATGTGGGGGAATGGTTTAAAGATGTCTAAATTTACAAACCCTGGCTTAGTACCTTACTTTAAGTTTTGGTGTCTGTTTTGCTACTCCCGACACTTCTAGTTTAAGATCTTTTTGCACAAAAACCAAAAAACAATTTAAAAAAAACCTATAACTTGTAGCCTATAGGTAGCTTTCTTCCTCTGCCAACAGACACCCTGTACCCTCAGCCAAAGCAGCGTAATTATCCTGGGGCTGAATGACAACAGTAGCCTTGATGTACTTATTTGTATGTTTATTTCTTAATCAAAATTCCCCACTATTCCAGTGTCCTTTCTTCCATCTAGCTGCAATAGAAAGGATGAGAATTCCCTTAGGGCATGTTTATATTGAAGAGACAAACTCTACTTCTGACGGTTTTTTTCCCAACAATTAAAAGGCAAATTTCCACTTTATTTTTTAGATAGAGCACAACACTCACACCCATTATTTGCGTATTTACGTAGAGCCACTAGGTGTAATTTTGTTTTTAAGAGTGTAGTGCTTTTGAAGGCTATTGCTGATCACTACTCTTTAAAAATTGGAGCTGGTGGCTATAAGACTTGGAGATTCTGTTGTTTAAAGAGTTTGTACTTTTTACTGACGGACATTTTGCAATTTCGTAATTTTATCAAAGTATTTCAGACATTTATTCTGAAGTGGTTTTATGAAATGAATACATTTCTTTATTATCCTGCCTTATTTGATGTAGTCATTTTGGCGTGAGAGTTTTGACATATGAATATTTTGTTCTGTTTTCTTTATGCTATGTTTGTACATATCCACAGAGATCAGGGGGTGGTTGAGACTAGAATATGATAAGGATGTTTGTTACATTTATTATTTAGTAATAGAAACATGCAGAAGGATTAATGATATTTATCTGACTGTATCAAAATCTTGCTGCATTTTTTGTTTACTTGCCATCAGGTCAAACTCTGGTGTCAAAACTGCTGCGTTATAAATGCCACTTGAGAAGATTTTGTGCACTGACCAGAGAGGGTAACCAAGGCAGTGATCAAAGATGACTGTCAGGAGCGTGACTGCGCCCCACACCCCTCCTTGCAGAATTATAAAAAGCAGAGGCCTTTGGGAATTAGGGAGGCTGGAATAGAAGAACCTGTGGAAGCCCAGCATCTGCTCATTACACAGGAAGCTTAACTAAGAGAGACCACGTTTGCATTAACATGGTCAGAGCCTAGGGAGAGGGTGGTGAGGAAATTTCCTGGGCAGAGCGAAGGAGAGCTGGTTGAGGCCAAGGAGCTCTGGAGAGAGAAACGTCCATGTTTGGCTGGGATCTCAGGCAGATAGGAGGAGAAATGAGCTGGAGAGATGGTGAATGAAGAGTTCTGTTTTAGCCAAACTAATTTTGATATACCTATTCGATCCAAGAGGTTTTGGTGAGTAGAAAGTTGGATGTACGAATTTTAAAGCTTATTGAAAAATTCAGTCCGGGAGATGGAAATTTGAGAAATGGATAGAAAGTAGCAAATGGATGGTACTTAAAACTATGAGGCTGGCGGAGATCACCCAGGGAGAGTTTAGATAACGAAGAGGGCCCAATGTCATCTCTGTGTCTATTGATTGGTCGAGAAGAGCACAAGTTGAAGAGAACCATCAGTCCAGAGGAGTCATGGACCCTGAGGCGAGCTGCAGGGCAGCTGGGAATCAGGGAGAAGGTGGTATCACAAAAGCCACAAGTGAAACGCATTTCCAAAAAGAAAGAAGTAATGGAATGTGTCAGTGCTCTTGAGAGGCTATGACGTAGGTTGATTTCCATATTTTTCTAAGGGTGCATGTAAAATATCTGGGATAGAGGTGCTCTCAGTTTTATGTAGAAAGTGACAAAACCAAGTGGCAGGAAATTTAATACTAAATCTTTGTTTCCTAATGCAGAAACTGATGCTGTCAGAATGTGTAGTCTGCCTCGGTGGGAGTAGGGGGTGGAGTAGGAGAAAGACCTGTAAGAAACAGGGACTCATTAAATGCTTTTTAATGAACTTTCTTGTGTAGGAGATGGCACTGAATATGCTTGGAGAATGAACTGTGATAGAATGAATAAACACCAGTAAGTTTAAAAACTTGAGAAATTCCTGTCAGCTTACTAATTTGCAGTTGGGATTTTAACTGACTGTTTTCTAAGCCTAGAAAAAACTCAAGGGAAAACCAGCATTTAGAAAAGTGTACAAGAGCCCAAGACACCTTATTAGTGAGCCATATGGCAGTTCCTAGCCATATGAACATTTCATTGCTTTGGTTTCTTCCTTTCCCAAATTCACAGTGCATTGCCAACAAAGCATTAAGGCTCAAAAATGACACCCTGTATTAGCCTAACAAGGCTTTATGAATTATACAAGAATGTGTTGGATATTTATAGCCTGCTGAAAATTCCTGCCTACACCATCTCTGAGGTCAAAATACAAAGGCCCATCCATCCTAATGGCATGTCATGTAGCCTGTAACTGATGAGTTAGGCAAGCAAAATGCATTGTGCTTGCAGATTCAGGATGTTCCTGAACTTGGCGGATAAATTAGAATTCATATAGGAATTGGCCTCTGCCTACCTATTTAATGTAGATGCTTCTTGAGGCCGCCTACTATGACATAATTCCTTCTCTGCTCCCTCCCTGAACTTCATTGTATTCCTTCTTAACCTCAAGTCATAAGGTTACTAAGGAATAGAAGCAGATGCAACTATTCTAGTGATTCTCAACTGGGGGAGATTTTGCTCCTTATATGAAACTTGTGGCAATTTGGACATCTTTGTGTGTCATGACTAGGGGAGGTAGTGCTACTGAAATCTATTGAGTAGAGGCTGGGGATACTGCTGAACATCTTACAGTACAGAAGACAGTTCCCTGCAACAAAGAATTATCCAGCCCCAAATGTCAATAGTGAGGAGCTTGAGAAACCCTGAGTCATTCTGATGGCTCTCAGGACATGACTGGGGACCGCAGGCAGATGTAAGTCCTAGATGAGGAAAGTGGAAGGAGAGAGAGAGGAGCGGGAAGAGAAAAAGTAATAAAGGAAAATAGAGGTATCTCTGCATATGGTAGAGTAGAATAAATAGAGAACCAGGAACAATTAGGGATTTTGTAGACACTCAGAGTCTCCCATTTTCAAGGGGTACTTACGTAGTTGACATGCAGGAATGTGTTTCCATAATATTATAAGCTAATAGTTTGAGATTTTAATGAATATAATAGAATTCGATAGTAGTTGCAAAATGGGTTCATCCAGGTGATTCCTCTTCTTTAAGAATTAATTTACTTAGAAATGACACTAGAACGGTTGGAATATTTCAAAATAGATGTAACATTTTTGAAAAGTTCTTTCATCCTTTAGAGTAGTCAGATGTCTTTCACTTCCATAGGAAAAAACTCTTGGTCAGATCTGAGTCTATATCCATTTGTTCATCCTCTGACCTCTTTTTTCTTTCTTGCATGCCTGATCATCTTCTGGAGGATGGATCTGTGTTGTATTCCGTCTCTGTCTAGTTCTAGGGAAACAGCATTTGCCCACAAATATTTGATTAATTCCCCTTCTCTTCATACTGCTGTCTTTATTGAAACAAGTTTAAGGTTGAAACAAATTTAAGGGAGTCCTCCTGGGAATTAATTTATCTTGTCTTAGAGAAGGGCAGGGGTTAGCTAGGAACTTTGGAGAATGTTGTTCCTTTGGGCTAGGTCAAAGCTGTCAGAAATGGATGGAATGAGAAATTAAAGTAAGATTTGCCTGGGGCCAGATCTGTTTTCTGTTACAAGTGAAGGCATTACTGCTAACACAGACATGCACACACTCACATACACATACACATACACACATATATACACGCACATACAGTTGTTGTTGTTAATAGAGGACTTTCTCACCAAAAAAAAGGCTCTTGAAAATGTTAGAATATCTCATTTCCATCATCTATCAAACCATCACTGTTTCTTCATCTTTCAAAGCTGATTTTGGAAATGGGCCTTCCATTTCTGTATATTTCTGCTGTAGGAATTGTGGGTGGTAAAGTAGGTTTGGGGGAAAAGAATTTTGAAAGATA